CGCTAAGCGAGGAACCACTGTACTTTGTTTTTCAGTCAGATTTTGATATCCACCAACCCAGGTCTGATGTAACAGATGCATACCTAAAACTGAACCAATCAGTAAGGCCAAGAATGTGGTGTGAGTTCCAAAAATGAAAACAGCTGTACACGAGCCCAGTTGGAGCAACCTTGAGCAGGCTACATAGAATTAGTTATGGTTGGGTAGAGGTCCACTATGCCATTTGGTGTGGTCCTTGCATCCAAATGGCATGGGCAACTCAAGCGGCCCAGTTTGGTCCACCTGCCTGTTGAGAACAGCAAAAGCAAAGCAAAACAAACAAACAGACAGACAGACAGAGAGACAAAAAACCCTCCTTGTTCCCCTCCTCTCTCTTTCTTCTTCAGGGAGGTAGTTCTCAATTGAGAGAAAACAATTCTAAGTGCTATCCTAATAAACATTTTTTAAAAAACAACACTTTTTTCCTCTGCTTTTCCAGGGAGGAACAGAGGAAGTGTTTAATTTCCAAATATTGTGAAGTGGCTAAGCTGTCTTCTCAAGTCATTCTAGAATATTTGAAAACTGAAGCCAGCTGGCAAATTAAAGGCAGGAAGCTCATCTTTGGTTAATTTCCAGTGATTGCATGCACCGGAAGTGAACCAAAATGGAGTGATCCTATCTGCACCAAAAAACTAAACGAAACAAAACAAAAAGAATCCAGAAGCCTTTGACAAGGAATCAGAAAAGTGCAGGATTAATGCTGTAGGATAAGATGCTTCGTTTGTCTGATTGCTGGAAAAAAGGAATGAACCAGCCCATCCTGGCAGCAGACCAAACAGTGCCTGTCTGATCACACCCTTAGTATCTTTTCATATAAAAATCTACTAGTGACCCCAAACTTTCTTCATTTCAGCAGCGTAGTTTGAAATGGAGAGAAGACATCATTTTGGTATTAAATTGGGAGTTAAATACACTTGCAAATCTACTGCAAACAATCCTATCAAGGGTCGTCAACCTCCTTTTTGCCTACCTCTGCTTTGAAGGACTAGGTCACATTAGACATTATACTTAATTAGGGCTGCAGCCTTTACAGAGGGAAATGGAAGACTGCCCATCTGGATTTGTACTCAGCATCTGAGGAACAAAATAGTAGATTAAGATTACCATTAACGTTTGTTATTAGCATTATTGTATGTTTGTTAAAAGTGAATGCATGTACCAATTGCTGCAGAAAGAGTAGTTTGGACAGGAAGGAATACTATACTTAAGCATTCAGATTTGCAGAACAGAAAGGTTCAGTTTGCTTCAGTTGACATAAAAATTTATTTCCTATTGTTTGTGCATTTGCGAATTCTATGCCAACAGTCATCTGACTGGTTGCTTCTCGAAACAGAATACAGGACTCTAGTCCAATGCAGGAAGGCAGCCTCATGCATAGAAAATAAAAAAGGGCACCACAATTTTTCAACACTGTGTATATCTGCCGCCTTTCCGCATTCTGATTGTAGAGTGTCTGACCTGGTGACCCAGTGGAGAAGAGGAAGGGAATCTTGCACCTTCAATAGTTGTTTAGCTGTGAAGATCGTATTTCTGGAGGTGTACAAGATTCTACCTTTTTCTGCCTCCAGAACTTGGAAAAGGTACTGGTTTTGGACAACAGTTCTAATAAATCCCCTGCCAGCTGGGGGATCTTGGGAGATGAAGTCCTCGAAAGTAACTTTTGAAAGGTCTGCAATATCTGCAGAAATTCAGATATCTTCCTTCATATTAAAGATGCAAGAACCCTGTTCTCTTTTCTATCTGGCCACACTATATTTGACAAACACACAACAAATAATTGTTCAGCGACGAAGAAGGCGGACTTAGTCATGCTGGCTTATGAAAAGGCTTTTGTCAGGCATTTTAAACATGCTTCTTTCAAGAACCTTGATGTCTTTCATATTACATGCAAAGTTCCTTACTTTTTATATAGTACCTTGTCTCCTGCTCCTCCCATGTTTCACAGTATTCATTGAGTTATGTTCTTTTTCAGGTTCCTAAGATTTACTGGGATCTTTCGACAAGGCGTGTTCTCTTCATGGAGTTAATGGAAGGTGGCCAAGTGAACGACAAGGCCTACATGGATAAAAATGGCATCAATGTGAATGAGGTAATATTCTCTCTGGCCATTACATAAGCCAGTGGTGCTGAGAACAGAATTGGGAGCATCACAAGGTGTTCCTGAAACCAAGTGATACTTCCAAAACTAGTTGCGTATCAGTAATTTAAGGAGCCTATAAAATTTGTATCGACATGGACAGGTTCTCTACTGGTATCTTTAGGAGAGCCCTAGATTCATAATCTTGAGGCATTCATGTTCTGTTTTCCATTAGAGTTATCAACTGAATGATTATAGAATTGCATAGGACATGGGATGTAAAGGTTAGGTTGTCTGAACACGCTTCCCTATTTGAGTCGAAGTTCTAAGCAGTATCTCATGGTCTTTAGCAATGTCTAGTGGAGGGAGCATGGCTTCCTGGTATATCAAATAGTTTGCATTCAGATGGTCATAGGTACAATCCCCCTCTAGGAGCACCTTCCTTTTCAGTTATTTTTCAGAAGTAGATGAGTATCTCTTGAAGGAAGAGGGGAGGTTGGCTGAGGGAGGGTTTAGGTTGGAGTCAGGCAAATCACAGATGACTGAGTAAATTGGCTTGATTTGGACCAATCCAAGGTCTGGATCGAAGTGAAATGGCCAGATTCTGTTCCAGGGTGAAATGAAGCAAATTTACAAACTGATTTGTTTCCAGAGCACAAACTAAATTGAACAGGGCATAAATCATTCCAGCCTTTTCTTTTCTTTTTTTTCTTTTTGAGGAAAAAAAAACAAAGTTTAAAAGTGCCCAGTAGAACTATCTCTGAAGCTCGGTGTCTGAGATGTGGTAGGTTTATTCCCCCAATTTAGAGTCTCTCATGTACATCAGTGGAAAAAAAAAGTTATACAGTGGTGCCTCGACTTATGAACTTAATCCGTTCTGGAAGATGGTCGTAACTCAAAAGTCGAAGCACCATTTCCCATTGAAATGCATTGAAACACAATTAATCCATCCCGGCCGAAGAAAAAAATCATCAAAAACCCCAACCCGCCCCCCCAAAAAAACAGCATTGCAAGACTGATCAGAAATGTGATTAATCCGTTCTGGCTGAAGGGGGGGGAGGGAGAAAAGCAAGCCAAGTGTGCAAGACACATTGGAAATGAGGAAAAAGCAAAGCAGAAAGCAAGCAAAGCATTGAAGACACGTCAGAAATGGGGGGACCCCAAAAAGGAAGCAAACCCCCCAAGAGCCATCGGAAATGGGAAAAACATACCAAAAAAGAACAACCCACCCAAAGATCCATCACAGCACAGAAACATAAACCCCCCAGCCCAAAACCATGCTGCAAAACCCACCTAGGCCACTTTTTAAAAAGCAGAAAGCAGCACCTTACCTTACCAGACAGTCCAAAGCCTCCTCCAATCGCACTCACTCTAACCGTTGGGGCGAAAGGACTACAAAGAAACAGCCTCTTTGCCTACCAATGGTTAGCAATTTGAATTTCCTGCCTTTTTTCCCTGCCTGTTTTTGACTGTAACTTGAAGCTCTGGCCGCACGTTGAAGCAAAATTTTGCGGCTGGAGCTGGTCGTAGCTCAAAATGGTTGTAAGTTGGAACGTATGTAAGTCGAGGCACCACTGTAGCTGCTTTGGGTTTTCTGTATACTGTACTGTAAATCAGTAGGAGGCTTACAAATTCACTGTGATCCAGCAAACAAATCAAATTGGCTGAGGCAAAAATTGCTCTAAACCAAATCAGAATACATTCCAAGCCCTAAGTTGCTCTCCGAAGTAGATTGGGAAACCAGCACACATCCCTGATGGAGGTGATAGGTCAGAGGCAGTGATGTATAATTATTGCCTTGTTCTCAATTGACTTGGTTTGCCCTAAATAATGTAATTGCATAGTCAAATCTGACTGACCCTATAATGTTGCTTCATTGTATGATCCATGGTTGGCCACATGTAATGGGTATCAGAAAGGGGTAAAAAAAATTCAGTCAAAACAGAAGCAGAGACACAGAGAGGGGGAAACGGAAAAGAAAAAAGTGAACATTGCATACATGGGTGGGTGGGAACCATGTTGCCATTCCCTGGGAAACACCATTTTTAACTTCACAATCAGCACAATTCTACATCTAGTTTTGTGTATTAGTGATAACTAATTGCCCATCTGCAAAATTGGAGATTTGTCTTTTGAAATATCGCATCATTCTAAATGTGATCATGTTCTGTTAGGAGATGCAGTGATTCTTGTGCACATGGTGCATATAGCTGTCTCTTTGGAGATGAAAGTATGTGTTGGGTGGGGTTGGGGAAGGCACCTAATTTTATGTGCAAGAGCTAGGGTATGGTCCAGCCTGTCAGACTTGCTCTCTGAGTCAGTGAATTCTGATTGAATCAGTGCTGTCTGCTCCCACCCCACCCTGTGCAATATTGATGGGCATCAAAACGCCACTTGGCTGACTAGCTATCAAAGAACTCCAGCATAAAATCAATTATACTTAATCCGTCTGTCCATCTGTCTCTGAAGTCTGGATGCTCCCTTCCCTGTCATCTTTTTATTCTGTGGCAGAGTTCAATGCTGCATCAATTATAGACCTTCCAAAATATATCCAGAGGGGACCGAAGTTGTGTGTTCATTATCTTCTGAGAGGCTACATCTTTATTCTTCTACAGTACTTTCTCTCAGAAAGAATTACTCACAAAGGTACATAAGCACACACAAATCACCTTAATGACTAATTGCTTGTACATGGAGGGAAATTAATAATCAGAATTGCTGGCTTTCTGTTCTCCTATGCATAGTTGCTATCATACATGTCAGTTTTTAATATTCTGTGACCATTTGACGACAATCAAGGAACTGCGAAGGGCAGGACTATGGAAATTAAGGGGTGAGAAAGTACAGATAACAGAAGACTTGCCCCCTTGTCTGTATTCACTGGGGTGACCAGGGTCGGAAAACAGGTTTAGGATTGACTTCAGTGGGTTCCCCATGTGCTTTAGCTTCTCCCATACTGTATAACAATGGTTATTCATTCCTATGCAGAAAAGTGTGTCTTTGCACTTAGGGAATACTACTGCAGTAATAGCAAAAGCCCTCACTTGATCCCCTGGATGGTGCATTAGCTCACTCTGCATCATGGAGTTCTCCATGGTTTTTGGGATCTCTTCTTCCTCACATAGTAATGGACATTCTGTTGGTATCCTCATTAAGCCAACAGCAGGTTGCTGCAGGCATCACACTGTGCTTCCTGCAGTGCTGGCTGAACTGTTCTGAACCCTTTCTACAACTAAATAGACCAAATGCTTTTCTCAGGGATCTTTTTCTAAAATAACACATGATAGATCTGGACCATGACCTTGTAGTTAGAAACCATTTTTGTATGTCTGGTGTTACTGGCAGACCTGACAGGTATCCAGAGTTTACCGACATCATATGATACTTGCACAAGTTTTACATCCTGGTTCCAACTATTGCACTTCAGATGGAGGTTCCATTGACTTCAATAGACTTTTAGATGCATTTTCTATAGACATTCCCTGTAATGTATGCACTTATTTACACACTTTACCAAAATCATATATTTTTACAGAATCTTTTTGTTATTCCATTCAGTTTTTAAAACTAGATGTGTGATTTTGTGTTTACAAAACATAGTGCATGCCTCACAGATATTTAGATGTGTGGGTAAACATTTGCTTAGTCTTGCAAAGAATCCTGTGGGTTGCAAAATGGGTTATTTCAGGAAGAATCTTGGTACAGTACTTTAGAAGTTCTTTTGCCTTCCTAATATGTAAGTCAGTTCGGGCCTGCTTTCTTATCCTAAATTATCAGGATAAATCTCATATTTAATATCCCCTTCCTTACATAAGCTTTTTCTCTTTTGCATCCTCTCATCCATTATGGCTATTTTTCATTCAATTACATTTCTTTCTGGGATGGATGAGGAACAATAGATTGAGGCTGAACCCAGACAAGACGCGGGTGGGTGCACCTAGTGTCTGTGATTTGGGGGCCTCCCTCTCCTCTGGGGGGTACTCTCTTTGCTAAGGAGGAGGTTCACAGCCTGGGCATACTTCTGGACCCAGCACTACCATTGGAGTCCCAGGTAGCATCTGTGACTCATTCTGCCTTTTTCCACCTGAGGTGGATTGCCTAGCTATGTCCCTGCCTTGAAACAAGATCCCTCACCACACTGGTCCATGCAATGATAGTCTTGAAATTAGATTACAGTGGTGCCCCGCTTGACAACGATAATCCGTTCCCCTGAAATCGCTGTTAAGCGAAATGTTCCGCTTGACAACGATAATCCGTTCCCCTGACAACTGCAAAATGTTGTCAAGTGGAAAAAAAAACCCACTGGAATGCATTGAAAACCGGTTAATGTGTTCCAATGGGGAACTACCTCATAGTCCAGCGAAGATTGCCCATAGAGAACCGCCGATCAGCTGTTTAAAATCATTGTCTTCCGAAGCAGGGGTCCGGAAAACAGCTATTTTGCGAAGGGAGGGAAGCCATTTTGCAGAGCCAGAAAAATCGTCATTTTGCGAACAAACGGTTTGTGAAGCAGGCACCTAATCGACCTCAAGCGTAAAAGCCCCATAGGAACCATCGTAAAGCGATTTTGTCGGCAGGCACCTAATCGACCTCAAGCGTAAAAACCCCATAGGAACCATCGTAAAGCGATTTCGTCATCTAACGGGGTTGTCGTCAAGTGGGGCACCTCTGTACTGTAATACTGTCTACATGGGGCTGCCCATGAGGCTGCTACAGCAGGTCCAGAATATGGTGGCTAGATTATTGAGTAGAGTGAATAAATACTATTGTATCTCCCCTATTCGGGCCACCCTGCATTGGTTACCTCTTCGTTTCTGTGTCAGTTTCAAAGTGATACTGCTGACATGCAAGGCCCTAATTGGTTTGGGACCTCGATACCTGGCAGAACAACTGCTTTCAACGAGCTCTGCCTGACCTACTCGATCTTCCCAGGCTGGGCGCTTGACAATATTGATCCCAAGAGAGGCCTGGAAAGAGAAGACCAGAAACCGGGTCTTCTCAGTGGTTGCTGC